CCAACATTTAGAACATGAATTTCTGGAAAGCATGGCTGGCGTGGTCTTGTCCAGTAGAGGCGTTACGAGTTACTCGTCGCCCAAATTGTGTGAACAAGCGAGTGGAACCTCAGGGGCTTGGCTATGCTGACGGCTGGGACGAACATTTTCCACGGCGAACACGGGGACTGTTCCATCGTTTGCTGGTCACGTGTCGAACTAGGAATCGCACCCCATATATGTGGCACGCTGCTGACGCACGCTGTATCCCCAAACATAATTCCAAAAGCGAGTGCGAGGCCGAGAGCATCATCATGTTGTTGTGTTCTCTGGGGAAATGCCTTACGATTGGTGCCATGGCTCACTCATGGGAGGTTCCTGCTTGGGGCCACGGGGGGATCGCTCGCAGGCGCAGGGAGAATGCAATAGTGATTCAGGCTTGTGGGTCCTATCGGCTTCACTCCCTTGGGATGTCCCATCTGCTTCGCTGCCACGACGCCACGAATGCTTTTTACAGCGTCGCTCATTCCACGCTCGAGGGTGCAATCCAGGCCCTCTTCAACCCAGCGGACTGGCCATTTGGACGGGACAGGGTGTTCAACAACGGATTTCTGCTTCAAGATTGTACGGGTACATTCTGGATCAAACCCAGGGAGGGCGTATGTCCAGGAGATGTGGCTGGTCCTGTGTTGTTCATGTGGTCTTATACCGATCCGATTCGACAGCATCTTGAATTGTGTTTTTCCAAGGCGGATTTGGACGTTTTCCTGAAGGCCGAAATCCCTGTCACTCACGAGTGGCACAACATTGGCACCACAAGCTCCGTTGACGACATCTCCAGTAAAACATTGGAGGTTGGAGCCGGGTCGATGTATCAGGCTCTTCAGGCGGGTCGTGAACTGCAACATCGACTTCTTACACTTGGTATGCGAGTCAGTGAGGCTACACAGAACGAAAGCAAGCAAGATCATCTAGCCTTCTTGTTTGGTATTGGGTCGTACGGTGTCCAACGCATCTTCACGTCGTCCGACTCCGCCGTGGCCGGCAAAACGTTACATAACCTTCGGTACCTCGGAACTCGAGGTCGGTTAGCTTGGCACTGGGGCCAGAGTTAGAATGCCGTCTACAAGCCATGAAAATTGGATGGAGCAGCCTTGTTCGTTTTTGGGACGTATCCGGAGCCTGGAAGCTGAAAGTGACGAACCTCAATGGGTACATCATTAATGCTGGTCCGAGCGGTTTGGAATGTTTTACGGCGGACAAGAGACCGATTCTTAGTAAATATTTCCATGCCTTGGACTCCTGCGTAACTAAACGCATGAGGATTTTACTACAAAGGAGGGCGACATCATGGGAAGGAGCACACGCACGCACGCTTGCTAACCATCAGCTCTATCGTAAACTCGGCACCGGCAACTTCTATGTGGAGATCCGGATCCGGCGCCTCAAGTGGTTACAGCACGTTGTATCTCATCCAGACGAGTCAGTTCAACTTCTATCGTGTGTGTGTGTGTTGGGAGGTTCTGGGAAGGGGGAGAGATGTTCGACGAGGGTGGAAGGGTGGTGCCTACCGCAAATCACTGGGCACTGCAGTGGCCACCGGCTGTCGATGCTCTTCGTGTCTGGGAATCTGGGGAGGACTCTCTCTCTCGCTGCCCAGGGAGTTCCGCAACGACTCCCTGCGTTTGCACCCCACGGAGTGGCGATCCCATGGTCTGCCTCACGGAGGGCAGGAGTCCAAGGACTCCCACGAGGGCGCGGGTCAGTTCGTGTGCGCAGCACTTCGGGCAGATGGCTCCGTGTGCGGGGCTGTGTGGGGTATCCGTCAGCAGTTGCAGTCCCACCTTGCTTCCACAGTTGGGGGAACGCGTGGCGTGCTTCATTTGGGAAGGGTGGCTACGCCTACAAATGTGTGCGTGTTGTGCAGAGCTGTGTTTCATGATCGCAAGACGGCGCAAACTCATGTGTTGGCGTATATTCACCGGGGCCATCGTCCAAGAGATCGCACGCGGTTCGGGAGTGAGATTGTTCATCCAGGGACGCTGTTTTGCAAGATCTGCCAAACATCTTGTGACTGTTTTCATATATTTTCTGGGTTTTTGTCTTCCCCCCCACTTCCCAGATGTTCCCATACTTTCTTGGGAATCGACGATGAATTGTGTCTGTGTGTTTCTTCCCCTCCTGATCTCCTTAGACTTGCAGGGGGCCATTTCCGTACCCGAGGGCCCTCAGGAGGAGGACGCGCGGTGGCAAAGCGTCAGGCAGGAGGCGCCCGCGGCCGGGAGTCTTCACGAGCTCCAGGCGAGCCCGCTCGAGCTGCCCACCGGTTGTCCCCAATCCGTGCTTGCACTGAAGGGGTCCTGGCAGAAATTGGAAGATTCGGCGAAAACTTCCCGCCGATGTTGGTGGCAAGCTGGGTTCCCGGGTTCCTGGTTCCGGGTTCCCGGGTTCCGGGTTATTGGTTTCGGGCACATTTCGGTGGGTTGGGTTCGGTAGGCGAAAACCATCCACTGATTGGGTTTTCCATTAATGTAATCGTGAAGGAGGCGGGCAAATTCCTCCCCCAGGTTCAGATCATCGCAGAGCTTCCGCGCCACGCCGCGGGGGGGTCGGCAACCACGAGCAAGGCCCCGAGGGGGAACATGGCGAGGCAACTCGCGTGTGATTCACAAGAAGAATCGATCCTCGCTGCAGCAGATAGTGTGCTGCCTCTGCTTCGTACCTGAGTGTTGTATGCCTGATGTGGTCCACAGGTGGTGTGTCATGATGCCTGAAGTGATCCAGAGGGAGTGAGCACTGCAGCGGAGCCGAGATGTTTCTCGCCCCCTTCCCCTCCACTTCTTCCCCCCCTCCTCGCTTCCTCCCCCCCCTCTCCCAGAGGTCGGCCAGCGAGTCGCCTTGCAACAGCGCCGGCCCTCCGGGAAGGCATCGGCCGGCATTCATCAAAGTGCGATTCCAGCATTCATCAGAGTTCCGCTCCTCTCATCAAATGCGAAGCCTGCAGAGGCCTGACCTTCACGTTAGAGCCAGCCATAGTTCCAGAGACCTGCGCAGAATTGTTCAGCGAACTTGAATGGCGCCTGTGAAAAGGAGGAGGAGGAGGAGGAGGAGGATGTTGGGGGGAGGCGGAGGGGGAGGCGGAGGGGAGGAGGAACAAGGAGGCGTGGAGGCCCTGCCTCAAGGGCGTGCGGAGTCCTGCGGGCCTTCCTGTGGCACAGCTCGGAGCACTCGCCCTGCCCGCCCCTCGGCAAACGCGCAAGAGCAGGGCTCGACCCAAGCAGTCTTTTCCAGCATCGTCTCGTGTTCGGTGTCCCTCGTCTTGTCTTCGTCCCGCCTCGGCTGCAAAACGAAATCGGCACGAAAACGGCACACAATATCGTCCAAACATCCTGTATAGAAGAAGAAGAACAAGACGGACAAACAAACGCTATCAACATAAACAGTTGGCGCTCCGCGCGGATTTCTTGGATCGGTGCTGGACCCCCTCCATGGCGTGCGGAGCGCGCCAGGGGCGGCGCCGGAGGCGCCGCCGGGGGGCCCCAGAGCGGATCCACTAAATCCGCGCGGAGCGCCAAAATTTTATGTTTATGGCGTTGGTTCCTTCTTCGACTGTAGGCCGAGACCCCTGCGCAAGGGTGACCCCGAGGCAAGAGTAACCCCAGATGGCCGAGGAAGAGGGGGAGGGGGAGGGAGGCGCGCACGAAGCACGCCACACCACCACCAAACAGGGGGGGGGGCGAGGGAGGGGAAGGAGGAGGAGGGACGAGTTTCTGTTCCCCGCCGAGAGCTTGGGGGGGGGAGCATCATCAAAGGCCCTCTCTCGCCATCGCCCGGACGTCCATTCCCTGTGTTTTTGTTCGGTTTCGTGCGTGGCTTTTTTCGCCACATGCTCCAGGGTGCTCCTCGATGGCCCTCGCCGAAGGAAAAACTGCACACGTCCGAGCGATGCCAAGCTCTGGGAGCGACCTCTTGGTGCCCGGCCTGCCGAGACGGCCGCGTGCGATGCGGCAGCGGCGGCCCTGCCCGCCTGCGCTCGGCCCCTCGCGCGCCCCCCCGGCAGCCGCGCACCCAGAGGTCTCGCCAGCGCGTCACTCTTGCGCGTAGCCGACTCTCCTGCCCCTGCCCCTCCTCCTCCTCCTTCTCCTCGTCCTCTTCTTCTTCTTCTTCTTATTATTATTATTATTTTTATTATTAGTATGATTATCCTTTTTCTTCTTCTTCATCTTCTTCTTCTTCTCCTGCTTTTTCTTCTACCGCTGCTCTCGTGCTTTGCCCTGCTTTGCCCCTAGGGTGCGGCCCTCCTCGGCCGGGCCAGGGCAAAACGGGGGCCCTAGAGATCGCACGGCTTCCCCTGACAGCCTCGCGTATGAGACGTCACCCTGAATCATTATTTGACGGCCCAGGGGTCTGAGAAGGTCCGCCTGAGGCTGAACATACGCAACTGCACATTTCGCCGCGATGTTTTCCCTACGCCCCAACATGAACAGATGAGCAGGAGGAGGCGGAGGGGTGAGAAGGAAACGTGCCGAAACCTCCACAATGAATTGTCATGGATAATTAGCCGGCCAGGGCGGCAGCGAGACGGCAGCGGCGGTTCATGTGGAATGGCAGTCATGGAGAACACAGGGCAACTGTTTCTCTGAAAAAACAGATGCAGCCGATCAGAAGATGTTGCAGAGGACGATCGGTATAAAGACTACGAGCGGACCCGCGACCCAATACATCAATCATCGCCCAGGGCGCTGTTGCGTGACGGCCCCCCTAGGCGTTTCTGACTCGTTTCTGAATCGACATCCTACGGTTGCCAGAACGGGACTTGGAAGCATAGGCTTCACCAGGCGGGCTGCATGTTCCCAACTCGCTTGGACTGGCTGCCTGGGCCTCTCGTAGCGCGCCGTCTGTGCAGTGCACGGACAGGCAGCTCCTGGACCATAGAAGACACTCAAGAACAGTCTGCATGAACATACGCTTTCGCAGGCCCTCGCGGACTTCTTGGATCGGCGCTGGACCCCCACGCTGGCGCGCCGAGCGCGCCAAGGGGGACCAGCGCCCATCCGAGACGTCCACGCGGACCGCCACCCACTGACTTTAAGTCGGGCGTGTCCTCCTACAGGCGGATTTGGGGCGAACCAACAAAGATACACCCAAACATACCCCCAAAATGATCACAAGTACTACAAAAATCGCCCGCCGACTATTTTTTGATTATTTTTGAACATTTCCCCTGCGGAGGGACAACAGGCCCGACTTAATGTTAAGTCGGGCCATGTTTAAACATGTGTTTTGTATATTTTTAATTGTTGGCCCAGAATACGCCTGTAGGGTTATGTTGCTCGCTGCTCCCATCGTACTCAAAGACCACATCCCAGAAATAATTTCGAACACCCGGCAAGGTGTCGAAAGAGTGTCGGACGAGTGTCTTCCAGTGCCCGATACGTGAATCCCCTTGAGTATTGGGGTATTTCTCTGGTGTTCGAAAATATTTCTGGTGATTCAGGCCAAAGTGGGTTGGAGCATCATAACTGCATGGGGACAGGCCCGACCTCAACTTAACACCAACTGGCTGCCGCTGCCAACCTCTCCCCCTGGGCTGCGAACCGCCCCGGGCCCCCGCCCCGAGGACGGACACGATGTCGTCGCCGTGGTGCTCGCAGCTCGTGCTCATGGTGATCATGCCGAAGATGTCCTCCTGGGCGGCTGGGGCGGAGGGGGAGGAGGAGATGGAGGAGGAGGAGGAGGAGAAGGAGGAGGAGGAGGGGGAGGAGGGAGGGAGGAGGGAGGGAGGAGGGAGGAGGGAGGGGGGAGGAGGGAGGAGGAGGAGGAGGAGGAGGAGGAGGAGGAGGAGGAGGAGGAGGAGGAGGAGGAGAGGAGAAGGAGAAGGAGGAGGAGCAGGAGGAGGAGGAGGGAATATCCGTGGGGGCCAGCGGACTTGTACATTCCTCTCGAATAGGGCCTCTCCAATAGACCAGCCTTCTGGCCCGAGCTGTTGCGCTCGCTGGCACTGGAGCGCCCAGGAGCGGCGCCCCCGGCGGCGACGACGACGGCGGCGGCGACGACAGCAGACGGCGACGACGACGTGTCTGCGTTCGGTTGCGCGTTCGACCGTGGGCCCCTTGTTGCCCATCGCTCCTGGGACGTCTTCGGCGGTCTTGGGACGGTTGTCGGCGGTCTCCCGAGGCTCTTCGGCGCTCGTCTTCGGTGCCCGGCGCTCCTCAGCGGTCCTCGGGGCCCATGGCCGAAGACCCAACACTCGTCGGCGGCGCGCACAAGGGGGGCCGGGGGAGGGGGGAAAGCTTCTTGGAAGGAGGCCGCTTCTGAGAAGGCGCCGGCCCTACATCTATAGACAAGTCCTGCGAATCCTAAGGAGCAGGGGTGCTTCTGAGAAGCCTCCCCGCCTCCCCCTCCCCCCCAGGGGAGATCAAGAGATACCGATACCGCCACTCCCTGGACCTCTCCTGGGGTGCGTTCGTTCTGACCAGAATTTTCGAGGCGAATCCAGCGGTGGGGACGAGAGCCTCCCAGCAGGCCCCAAGAAGGGGCAAGCGGGGCGAGGGCAGCGGTATGAGTGCCTTTCCCTCCTCTGACCCGCTGCGCGTGGCCGAACCGAGCCCGCACCCGCGACACATCGCCGATAGGGATCGGCGAGGGGCCCCCCCCTCCCCCTGATTGCCCCCCCCCGACGTCGTGATTTTTTCGCAGCGTCGACCCTCCCAGAAGTCTGGACCCCTTCCCCGGGACCAGTATTCGTCCTGAGTCGGTTTTGACGGCCCCGAGGCCCGGGAAGGGCCCCCGGAGGCCGACAGTGGTGCAAAACCTCCCGCCGCGATTTTGTTCACAGCGCGAGGAGGCCTGGGCTGGGCGTGGCAAGACTTCGGTCGAGGCCCGACGGCGGCTTGCGGCTGCTCCTGGCCGGCGCCCGCGCCCGCGCTGCCCGCGCCGTGGGCGCCGCAGGCGGGCGCGCCTCGGCGGGGCCGGCCGCGGCTCTGCCTCCTCCCCCCTCCTCCTC